CCCCCCCCCCCGCCTCTACCACTGAGGTGGACGGGGAGGAGCCTGGAGCTCCTTGCGGGACAGGGTCATCAGTGGGCCCTGCCCTGCTGTCCCATGAGGGTCCCAGACGTCGCTCCAGAGCCCAGCTCGGGTCAGGGTGGGTTCTGCTCTGGTGTTCTGCTCCTGGGGACAGAGTCATGAAATAAAACTGTTCCTCATGCCCAGAGCGCTAAGTGGGGGTTGTCTGGGAAAGACGCCCTGGGGTAGGGAGAGAATGCTTTCCCCTGGGGCCGGACCTGGTGGCAGCCTCCCCAACACTGCCCTCGGTCCCCAAAGGAGGCTGCCTCACCCGGCTTCTCGCTGCCCGGCTGCTCGGAGCCCTGTGGTCCTCTAGGCCCTTCTCACCCCACACCCCTCATGCAGGGCCTAGTGGCCCGACCCGCCTGGTCATCGAAGCTGTGGAAATGAGTGTCTCCCGCTCAAAATGCCTGATCTCCAGGATTCTGAAAGAGCCCAATTGTCAGAGTGCCAGCCATTCCAGGATGGGAGTGGGAGCCCCACTCTGCCACCATCTCGGAGACCCGAGTGACCCTCTGCCCCTTCCTTGCAGCCACATGGTCCTTAGGCAGAGTTGAAATATAGCTAAACCGCCCTCAAGTTCACTGTTCAAGGTGTATGCGTCAGTGGCTTCTAGTAAAACGAAATTGTGTTATCATCTAATTCCAAAGCAATTTCATAGTCCTGAAACGATGCCCTCTCCCCAGCCTCTGCTTCTCCCAGTTGCCCAGCTTTCAGGCCCCCATTCCACTCTCGGTCTCCAGGGATTTGCCCATTCTTTTTTTTTGAGTTGGTCTCACTCTGTCGCCCAGACTGGAGTGCAGTGGCCGCTCCCGGCCACTGCAGCCTCGACCTGCCGGGCTCAGGCGATCCTTCCACCTCAGCCTTCCAAGTAGCTGGAACTAAAGGCATGCGCTACCACGCCCGGCTCATTTTTGATTTATTGTAGAGATGAGGTCTCGCCAAGTTGCCCAGGCGGGTCTCGAAGCCGCGAGCTCAGGCAATCCACTCACCTCAGCCTCCCAAAGGCGCGGGATGACAGGCTGAGCCACCGAGCCTGGCTGCCCATTCTTGAGGGGTTTTTTTTGTTTAAGTTGGGATCTCACACTTGTCCAGGCTACAATGCAGTGGTGTGGATCAATCACAGCCTCGACTGCCTGTGATCAGGTGATCCTCCCACCTCAGCCTCTGGAGTAGCTGGGATTACAGACATGAGCCACCACCCTGTCTAGACATTTCTCAGAGAGAGTCACACTCTGCCAGGTACAGTGGCTCATGCCTATCATCGCTACACTTTGGGAGACCAAGGCAAGAGGATTGACTGAGGTCAGGGGTTTGAGACCAGCCTGGGCAACTTGATGAGACCTCATCTCCACAATAAATCAAAAAATAAGCTGGGCATGGTGGTGCATGCCTGTGGTCGCAGTCCCACCTCAGCCTCTGGAGTAGCTGGGATTACAGACATGAGCCACCACCCTGTCTAGACTACTTGGAAGTCTGAGGCAGAAGGATCACCTGAGCCCAGCAGGTTGAGACTGCGGTGGCCGTAAGTGTGCCACTGCATTCCAGCCTGGGTGACAGAGTGAGACCCCGACTCAAAAAAAACCAAAACAAAAGTGGCCACCACTCACGCCTATAATCCCAGCACTTTGGGAGGCTGAGGTGAGAGGATTGCCTGAGCCCACAGGTTCGAGACCAACCTGGTCACCTTGGCAAGACCCCGTCTCTACAATAAATCAAAAATTAGCTGGACATGGTAGCATGCACCTGTAGTTCCAGCTACTTGGAAGGATCGCCGGAGCCCAGCAGGTCAAGGCTGTGATGGCCAGGAACATGCCACTGCACTCCAGTCCAGGCGACAGAGTAAGACTCCAACTCAAAAAAAAAAATCTCACCTTAAGAGGCCTCGTGTTACTGACTTCTTTCATTTGGTGTGATACTAACAAGTGTCATCCCTCCACTCCTTCTTAGGAATGAGCGATTCCACTGACGGACAGCCCACATATTGTCACCCATTCATCTGTTGAGTGACATGTAGTTTCCAATTTTTGGCAATTGTGAGTGGGGTTGCTGTGAGCATCATGCCAAGTTTTTGTCTGGAAGTCTGTTTTCTATCCTTTTGGGTGCATACGTAGGAGTTAAAAACCCTTTTGAAGATCTCATTTCTCTTTCTAACCTGTGACTGAAAAATAAATAGCATCACAACATTAAAAGTCAACAGCCTATAAAAAGTCTGCAGGGCCGTGTGCGGTGCCTCACGCCTGTCGTTCCAACCACTTTGGGAGGTCAAGGGGGAGGGTCATTTGCACCCAGAAGTTTGAGACCAGCCTGGGCAACATTGTGAGACCTTGTCTCTGCAAAAGACTTAAAAATTAGCTGGGCGTGGTGGTGCACCCCTGTAGTCCCAGCTACTTGGAAGCTTGAGGAAAAGGATCTCCTGAGCCTGGGAGGTTAAGACTGTGGTAAGCTGTGACTGCGCCACTGCCCTCCAGCCTGGGTGACAAGCAGACCCTGCCTCAGAAATCAAACATGAAAACCAATAAATGTTTAAAATTAATGGAAAAGGTTAAGTTGCATGTGGTTGAAAATTACAGATTGCAACATGGAAAAGCAGAAGGTAATCACACATGGTAGGGAGTGGGGCATAGTACCCAGACAGACCTTGGGTCATAGGGTGGCTTTCTGAGGAGCTGCTATGTTTTTCCCAACGCCTGCACCATTTTTTATTCCTACCAGCAATGTGTGTGGGTGTGTTCCACTTCCCTACGTTTTTACCCACACTTGTTATTTTCTACTTTTTTTTTTTTTTAGTCACTGTCGCCCAGGCTGGAGTGCAGGGGCATGCTCACAGCCACCGCAGCCTCTACCTGCTGCGCTCAGGCAATCCTTCCCCATTAGCCTTCCAAGTAGCTGGAACTACAGGCAGGCGCTACCCTGCCTGGCTAATTTTCTGATTTGTTGTAGACATGAGGTCTCACCAAGTTGCCCAGGCTGGTCTCAAACCTCTGGACTCAGTCAATCCTCTTACCTCAGCCTCCCAAAATACTCGGGTTACAGGCGTGAGCCTCTGTGCCCCGTGTCAGCTTTCTTATTTTTTGTAGAGACAAGGTCTTGTTGTGTTGCCCAGACTGCTTTCAAACTTCCTGGGCTCAAGCGATCCTCCCACCTTGGCCTCCCACAGTTGCTGGGATTGTGGCCGTGAGTCACCACGCTGGCCTTTTCCCTTTCTTGATAGTGTTCTTTGAAGAAGAAAAGTCTTTCATTGTGATGAAAGTCCAACTGGCCTGTTCTTTCCTTTGGTCACGTGTGCTCTGGGCACCATATTTAAGAAGCCACTCTTTATTCTAAGAGTTTCGTGGCTTTCGCTCTTACCCTTAGGTCTTTCCTCCGCCTTGAGTTTTTTGGAATCGGTGTCAGGCAGGTGGCCTGCGCCATTCATTGGCATGTGGCATCCGGTTGCCCCAGCACCATTTGTTGAAGAGATGAGAGTTCTTCTCCCATTGAATGGTCTTGAGGCCCTCATCAAAAGTGAATTGGCCATAGATGGGTGGATTAGTTTCTGGACCAACTGACAATTCTTACACACGTGATAAAGTTCAAAAGAACGGGTTATAAGAGGAGAGGTGAGTCCCTTCCCTAGAGGAACCTGTTGTTGGTTTCTTGTGCATCCTTTTGGGAACTGTCCACAGATCGACACGGGAACAGCCCAAGCCAACTACTCGCCCCCTTGCTTTTTGCTCAGTGCATGTCAAAGCTTCCCTGTCTGCACACTGGGCTGCCTGTCCTTTTTAATGGCTGCAGAATATTCCACATGTAGCTCTACCATAATTTTTAAAACCAGTCCCACTGATGGGTCCTTTGTAACCTGGCTGTTAAGAGCAAAGGTGTGTGCAATGTCCTCATGTGTCATTTTGTACCTGTGTGTATCCACGAGATAAATCTTGGACAGCTTGGCGGGTTGGGAGGCTCGGGGATTCCTCGTTTTGAAAGATGGTCAGGGGCCAAGCTCGGTGGCTCAACCTGTCATCCCAGCACTTGGGAAGCCAAGGCCAGTGGATTGCCTGAGCCCGCAGGATCGAGACCTACCTGGGCAAATTGGCGAGACCTCGTCTCTACAATAACTCAAAAATTAGCTGGGCACGTTAATGCATGCCTGTAGTTCCGGCTACTTGGAAGGCTGAGGCGGAAGGATGGCCGGAGCCCAGCAGGTCGAGGCTGCGGTGGCCGGGAGCGGCCACTACACTCCAGTCTGGGCGACAGAGTGAGACTCCAACTCAAAAAAAAAAGAAAGAAAGATGGTCAGGTCATCCTCCATGAGGTCACACCCCAGACCAGATCATGTTGCCAGCCTGCCTACACCCGGCAAGGATTCCCTGTCCCCTGAGGGAGCAAAGTCGACTCTAACGTGGCTTCAGACACGCTGCTCCTGGGCAGTTTTGCCAAAGCAGCCTTCGCAGAGCTGCTC